CCATAGCTTAATATTTTGTAAAAATGACACAATTGCGTCACATTACCGCCATGGTCTGACCACTTGTAAACCACTCAAGGCTCCCTGATGTCGACTCAGCGTTGCGGCTAATTATTTTGTAAAAGAGGCTTTAATGAAACTCTGAAATGGTCAAATCCAGATGGCTGCCACATTCACATGGCCTTATCAAACATGAAAGTGGCTTTCACTCAGTCCGTTCTACAGATATGTAGCAAATATTTGAGGCCATAGATACTGACCCCAGCCTTACACAAGATGTGAAAGCATCATGTAACGTAATAGCGGCGTTTTACCCGCAAGCTCCCTTCCAATTGAGAGCGATTCAGACATGAAACGAGAGCAAGAGCGATCCATGCGGCTTATTCCGTGATGTCACGAAATCACAGGAGAATTGCAACAGTCTGTTCTGTTCACATCTGATACGGAGGTTTTAACAGGAAATGATGTACGCTTATCTGCACGTGACTTTCATTTTGAAAGTTTCCAGAAGATCTACACTGCTTTTGTGTTTGACCTCCTGTCTATCCTGATATAAATTGTGGAGTTTGATGTGCTTTGGAAGCGTAGCACGTACAAAATAAAGTCAAAACATGATGACAGCGTCCCTTTGCTTCTGGGAACCGTCCAAAACAGTACACTTTGCTGCCAGTGGAAATGAAACCGTCCACTATAATGGCAGCTAATTACCGCATAGTACAGTTTGCAGGAAAATCCCGGCCACTTCGCAATGCTTTTTGGAAAAAGGTATCCTCAAAACATACTGAAAGGAAGGAGTGAACCCTCACTCTAGAACAGGGGTGTTCAATTCCGGGCCTGGATGTCCGGTATCCAGCACATTTTAGTTTTAACTCTGTTTCAACACACCTGCTTTTAATCAGCAGGTGATTAACAGGCTTTTGCAGAGCCTGATGAGCTGCTGCACAGGTGAATCAAGTGTGTTGAATCAGAGAAACAACTAAAACATGCTGGATACGGGACCTCCAGGCCCGGAAATAAATACCCCTGCTCTAGAAACATTTTAAGGGGAATGTCAGAAAATGTTGATTAGATACATTAATGGCTAATTTTTGAACTATTCTATTTCAAGATGACTGCCAAAAAAAAGCAACATTAGTATCCACAAACCCATATAACTCAGTACATTTTACAGATATTGAACTGAGCGTTTTATGATAGTAATCATCCTTAATACATACTTTTATAATGGGACTCTAGTAAGACATACTTATTGAATTTGTTGATGCTGTTATTATTTGAAAATGAAAAATCTGGGTATCTCTGCAAGTAAGCGCCTGTTATCTTGGGTATATACTAGAAAATGGGTAAATGCAACACCTACTTTTTAAAGTCATGTTGGCAGCAAGTAGAAGGCCATTTCTTAATGCTGGCTTCAAAAGTTCCACCCTACAGCTTTTTTTTAACATGATTAAACATCACTAGATCCAAAGGACAAAATCCTACCTGGTGCTTTAATGACACCCATGACCTCTCGTTCTGTTGGTTCTCATTTATTCTGTTTATGTAATAAAAGTGGAAATTTTTAAATTTTAATAAAACAAAGCAAGAACTCTGAGCGCTAATAGGTCGTGCACCACTTTGCAGCATTGTGATTGCACATAAGTTGTCAAAATTAGACAAAAACTGGTTGAACTCTTACTTTTACATAAGATGTTAAAGTCTGGAGTGAAAGGTGATCTGAGAGGCTATAAGCTTTTGACTGGTGAAATGCTTTTAACTTTTTTTTTTTTACTATATTTTTCAAGTAAACCTCTTGCACTTCAACACACTTACAGTGCATATGGCTTGCATTTCAAACACCTTTTCTCCAGAGGAAATAAAGGAAAATCCAGTGTTTGATGTCCAAAGTGAGTTTACAACCAAAGCTTCCGTACCTTTCTTAATTCCCCCTCCTTGTTCGTCAGCTACCTGCTGTTTCACGAGACAGGGGCTTGTCGGAAGCCACCGCCACAGACTTTCCTGTTTGAAGCGATTCAATTAGTCACATGTGAGGCAGCATTTAGCTGTCTACTTGCTTTCTTTCCCCCTCATACACTATGTGATCTCTTTTTTTTAAATCTGGCAAAATTTGGACAAACTCCCCCCACCAAAGTTGAATTAAAAGTCACACTCTGAAAATAAAAGCACCATCTGGTTAACCTACACTGGGCGACACAAGTTTCCAAATAACAGCCTTTATCTTTCATCACCAGATATGACAGGAAAAAGTAGACATGGGATTGTGGGATATGAGTGATGAGACATTATAGCGCCTGTCTCGGAGGTGTCTGGCGATTTAAATAGTCTCCATATGAGCAGAGGCGCAGCATCCTTCCTCCGCACCCGGCGAGCTCTCTCTTCTAAGAATGCATTGCAAGAGATTAATTTAATGCTCTGCCAGGATCATAAAGATCAAACAAGTGGAGAGATATCATTAAACCGCTGGAATGTTATCTCATTTATCTAAACAAACTGATGCGGTGAACAAGCCTAATTAAAAAGCTCACCATAAACAAGGCAGAGGCCTTTTCCCTCGTTTAACAATGGGACGCGTTTATTTTATTAATCTAACGCATTGTGTATCATATCATTACAGTTCAATATTTCTGTCATTAATTTTATTCCTTTCACTTAAAGCTTTTATTGGAATTACTTTGGTTATTAGCTGGTTCTAATGTATTGGTTACTTCTGTATCTTTGCAGCTACAATCTCTCTTATCTCGCCGCATAAACCTGTGCATGTTATTCAAATTGCCTCATTTATTATGATAGCTTCCTCATGTAAATTGTGCTGACTGCTCGCCCTTGCACAGTCCTCATTAGACTAATGAAAACCTTCAAACGAAAAAACTAAACAACCTGCCAAATAAAGGTCTGGGGTTATTATGAAAATTACAACTGTTGGAGCCGGGAGAAGCTCTCTTCATTAATTCATGCTCAGCAAATTGGTAACTAATTTAGTTGCACTCCTCTGCATTAATGGGTTATTTTATAAAAATGTTTTCCACAGCCAGAGACCTCTGGTGCACACTCTGGAGAGCTCAGAATCCTAATCAAGTCCGGTGACATATTAGGAATTGACAATCTCAAAGATAACACAGCATGTGTTTGCCAGTAGTTGCACAAAGGTCAACTAGTTGGAGCTGAGGAGAATAGTCGGGTGGTTTTTTGGGCTTTTTTTCTTCTAACGTTGCAAAGAAGTTAGGAGTCATTTGTGTTGATTATCTCAGTACAGAGGAGGCGCCTCAGCTGGGATTTCAGGAAGCTGTCAGCTGATTTATGTTTGTGGACACTTGGCGAAACACCTTTTTATTTAACCGTGTTTGCTTTGCTCTTTGTTCGTGAAAATCTCGTCTCCGCTTTCGCACACAAGCGCTTCACGCCACTGCACACGTGCGCACACAGTTAGACAGTTTGTGACCCATAAATTCAGCTCATGATCCTGCTAATTATTACTATTCACTGCTTCGCACCCTGCGTGTGAAGGTCTAACACTGATCTTCACGTCTGCAGAGCCATCAGGGAACACACAGCCCAGTGATTTCCACAGTGGTTCTAATATCATTATCAGCCTCGCCCCACCCTGTAGCACACACAGCTCCTCCAAAACCAACAGAGAATACAAAAATCTATTATTTGCTTCGTGCGTGTGCTCAGTTCTCAACAATAAGATTTCCTATCTGGATATTTGTTCTTCTGGCACATACTATATCTATATTATCATTTGGTGTATGGGATGATAACAGTCTGATTCAGCATCAATGAGTAATTGCAAATTTTTAATAGTTAAATAATTTTCTTTTAACTGCAGTAGAGGCTTATATGTACTTGTATCCTCACACACCTTTTTTTCCTGTGGTAAATGTGACTGTTTTCATTTAGGAAGAAATCAATCTAAAATCACAACTAACACAAGCAGTTGTTCAAATTAAAACATTCTCAGTGATAAATAATTGGTTTATATATATATATATATATATATATATATATATATATATATATATATATATATATATATATATATATATATATATGATTTCAGCTACCTAGTTTTCTAGTTTTGATGACAACTAGATGAATGGAGTATAGACGTCCTCAAAAAATGAAAATGATGACACTAAGATGGTTTTATTTCTTAATCCTTTAACTTCCTCACCAAGAACAAAACAATGGCAACATTCCACTTTTCCATTTTTTGATTTGGGCAAATAAGGGCTTTAGTTTCATGTAAATTAATGATAGTATTGATATAATAATTCTACCAATATTAAGGTGATACCAATAATGCAATGTAACAATGTTACGCCTTTTCGGCAAACAACTCCATCTTTTTTTTTTTAGGAATAATTATTAATTTATTTTGTATTAATTTAAAGGCCCACTTGGCAGTTTAGCTTGCCTTTAGCACCCCCTGGTGTCCAATATAAATTACCTGTGGTCAAACATCTTCTCAATGTGCGTTTGTCTTCTTAAAACCTTAATCTAGCTGCTGAAATGTCTCCCCAGCCTTTGTTAGTGTCTACTGGTGCGGTTCTTTGCTAAATCAAACATATCAGCTGTGTTCATGATCCAAAACATGCTGGATGCAGACTGCAGTGACAGGCATGTCAGCTAATGTTTTAAGTGCAACAGGTGCCACACTGAAGTTGCAAATGTGGTATTCTGGCCACAGAGGGCGGTAAGGGTCTGGGTGACATTTCATTAACCCTGTAAATGATTTTTTTAGCACACACTGGCTCAAGAGAATGATTTACAATATGAAAATGTTGCATAGAATGGCTTTAATGCTTCAATGAGAAGTAGGTACTTTAGATGTCCTTTACCAATTGATTGAACCAGGCAGGTTCAGGCTTACGACAGGTTATCAACATGTTTATCACATCACAGCACCGTGACATAAACTTGGTGGCTCTCTAGTGTTTAGTTTTCAGCTCCCAAAGTTCCTGCTTGGTTGGAGGTAAAACATCTACAGTTTGACTCACCTTTGTCAGTGAGCATCCTCTTTGCTTCGTGGCTCATGTCGTGGGCCAGGTCTCCTTCTTTAGGCCCTGGGATGATGTTGGGGGACAGACCTAGCAGGGCCTGGTTCATCGACAGGCCATTGTGATGTACGGCTGCAAAAGGTACAGCAACACCTCTTGTCTTAATTATCCAGAGTGCTCGTTTGGAGATTTTCCTTGCATCGCTTATTTGAAATAAAAAGCAGAACTCACGTATTCTGTCTGAGGAGCTTTCTGTGTGGGCCGGAGAGCTGGACACACTGCTGCTGCGGTGGGATGATGGGTGACTGCCCGGCCTCCGGTTATCTTCTAAGGAGGGGGCCGGGGAGGGACTGTCCGGCACACGTTCCTGCAACCCCAACAGCCACAAATGCACACATCCAAAAATAAACATCTGATACACAAACATGTACAAATCTTCAAGTGGCTTCAAAAAATAAAAAAATAAAAAAAGCTCAATTCAGCTTTAAAAAGTACCTTTATAACAGAGGTGACCATTCTGGAGGGCAGACTCTGGCCCTGTGCTGCGGCAGCCATGTTTGCAATGGTGCTGAGGTGGTTCATCTGGCTCATCGCCATGGTGACAGAGGCTGGGGGCAGGCTGACGGGGATCAGGGGGTGTGGCATCATCATGAAGGGGAGTTCCAGGCCTGAGACACATGGAGAGGTTGTTCATTAATCACTGAGGCCCATGATGAGTGAGATAGGTGCAGAGAGAACTCATAATGCTCTGGTAGAAACGACAAAGCCTGTTAATAAAACTTGATAATGGCTTATAATATGCATTATGCATATGTTATTTTTAATACACATGTTACTAATAAATAATTATGTTGCTGTGAAAATGATTTTTGCATGATGATTTTAATTATCAAAGGTAAAAAAAAAAATCAGCCTGGTTTCATGTAAAAAAGTAGATGACTCCTAAAAGTACTGGTTGTTTCTCTCCTGGAGGCAACACCAGTAACCAAGCTTGTGTGATCACTGGTAATATGTATCCTACATCCTAGTGGAACAATTTAGTCTCATTCTTTTTTACTGAATTGTTCAAACTCAGCCAAATTGGAGGGTTTTTCAGAATAAATGGCCCGTTTAAGGTCAAAGGTCAGATCTTCTCCTTCAGGATTTCTACAGAACTCACAGGTGAAACTGGAAAAAGTTGATTATGGTGCAAAAGTCCATTTTTTTCCAGTAATCCAACTTAGACTGAGGGACCCTCTAAAGGCTTAGGAACCTTTTGCGGTTGTTTTGGATTAGTTAGCTGATTAGAGTGGGACACTGAGTCTACAATATTGGACCTTTTCACAATACTCAAATTCTAATCATCACACCATTATAACACATAAAGGCTCTGCATGGAATGCGTCTTTCTCATAGATTAGTTTCACCTCTTAAGTCCAATGGGAACTTAATAAACTCTTGCACATTTTGAATTTTTGAGTTTCATCTGTACTTCCATCAATTACAGCAAAGTCACCCAGACCATCGCACCACCACCACAATGTCTGACTGCTGGTGTGGTGTTTCACTGAAATTCAGGTAGTTTTACAGCAGATTACGGGACACACACCTTCCAGAGAGTTCCACCTCTTTCTGTTTAGTTTTCCAAATGGCCATTTGTTTTCCATGAAATCAAGTACTGGCCATAAAAAAGTGTAATTTTTTTTCTAAATGTTATCACATTTTATTTAGTGTGGTATTGGAATTTGTTTACTAAAGGATATAATGATGTTCATTATTTGACAACAAACTAAAAAGAAGGATTTTAGTGACCTCTACATTTACATCACAACAACTACATAAAAACAAGAACAAACTCTAATTGCACCAAAACGGATAAACAAGCTAACAACAAAGTATGAATGACTTTAGACTAATTACAGCAGTCCATATGTGGAAACAGATAGAGAAATGGGCTAAAATTGGGCAAATAAAAAAATTATGCACACAAATTATTCCAAGTAAGTACAGTATTTTAAATGATCCAGTTGTTTGGCCACCATGGCCTAATTGGTGAAACTGAAAACATTGGCACACTGGGAACATAAAAAATTGTCTAATAAAGATACCACGGGGACCGGGGGGTTAGCGGCTAGTCAAACAGTGGCCTTGCTCTGTGCTTCTGAACAGCTTAATGAAAACAAGGCAACTTTCAAAGGACACAAGCTCAGACAGAAGGTCAAAGCTAGGTGTCTGTACCTCCCTCCTCGCCCATTGCATCGCTTCCCTCCCCCTCTTCTTGCTCTGCGGAGACTTTGAACTGAAAGCATCAAAAGTGACTGGAAACATTTTGGTCTCGTTCCTCCGCCACTTGGACGCTTTTCCCTCCGAATGCTTTAAAGAAAACCTCATAGATGCTACTGGATCTGACTGAGCCTCTCTGTTGATTTTCAGCACTTTTTTTTCTCTATCTTGGCAACCTGGTTCAAGGTAAAAGAAAGAGAAGAAATGCATAAAAGAAAAAAATGAGGGGGGGGGGGGGGTTTAAAAAAAAGATGGCACACTACACAACGCTACCAAAAAACAACTTCACTCTTTTTTTCTTGCAAAACATCAGTAGCCAAAGGGCAAGGAGATCTGCATGGCGAAGCCTCTAAAGAGAAGGACACTGGTTGAAAATGAAAGGACATGAGAAGTACTCCTCTCTGTCATCCCACCTCCTTCCAAAAGAAGCATTGATTTCCATAAGAAAGATGGCATGCCGTTTCTCAGTGGCGAGTATTCCCAAACAATATAAAGCAGGGGGAGATTAAAGAAAGGCGGAAGCCAAGCAGCACCTTGTATCAGCGCCTCCGCTCCAGCTCAGACTGAATCAATTACCACTCAGCAGGCTAAGCTCAATTAAAAAACACCACAGTGGGCCTGATTGCGGGGGTACTTACCGTAGGAGGACAACTCGGTAAGGTCTAGGCTACGTATGAGGCTTTCAAGGCCACTCAAGGGCCAGAGTGAAGAGACTTGTTCTGGCTTTGAGGCAGACGCGTTACACCCATTCAATCAAAACGCAGCGTTAAGACAGATTCTCACCACATCAAGAAAGACTGACAAAGGAGGTGAAAAGTCACCGAACATAACACAAGACCCCTCCGTGTTCCTGCAATAACATTCCTCGTCTTATCTCAGTGGTATTTCTTGTACTTGAAGGTATATGAATTTCATGACTGACAGCCGGGTGCAAGAACACTGGACTTGTGTTCGCTCTGAAGGGGGTATTAGTCTCGCTTTTAGTGCTCGTCCAGCCCTTTTCATGTCACACACCCCCATCCCAGAGCAGTGCTTCCTCCCAAAGACCCATTCAGGGACATGGTACCTGGGTACAGACCAAATCCCTTTTGTCTGCAAGTGAAAGGAACTGGGTGAGAAGGGCGTGCATTCATTCAAGGAAACTGGTGTTTTTCATTTGCAATTACTATAAGAAGTCCTCTCCAAAAACTTTTTAATGTTCTTTTCTACTTCCTTAAAAACAATATTAACAAAACACGAATCTGACTCATTAATCTCTTGGAAATGGTGGAGATATTCCAGCAAGAAAACTGTCAGTTTCTGTTAATCTCCGACGTGGAAGTTCAGAGCTGATGTGGTGAATTCCCGCTCCCCCCATTGGTTCTCCTGAAGGGCATAAACAATACATTTGGAGTAATTTACCTGAAGTAAGCCTGGGGGACCAGCAAAGGTGAACTCCTATTTACCGTCATTAAAACTACAAATCGCTTAATACCGATGCAAACAGCTCAGCTATTATGTTGCGCCGTGCTCACGAGTTCACGCATGGATAAGTAAGGATCCGAATCACAGAGGATGAATTGAATGAATTAAAACAGCCCTCGGTAACGGCGTGATTAAAAAGCTGTTACATCAGGGCTGTGGTATTTCAGTTAGTTTGAAAAAATGATTGAATGCTGAATATTTTAAAATGATTAAAACAGAGGGTAGTAATTTATTTTGATGACAAAAAGTGATAACTTGCAGTGATTTGGGCTGCAGTTAATCTTCATCAAAACAAAAACCTCGGTCTTGCCGGCTATCTAATCCTGCCGAGGGAAACAGGAGGAGGGAAAAAAATAAAAGGAGCTAAGCCCTTGTCATTGAAAATGCTACGAGAAAGCAAGCATCCCCTTAACCTTAACTCTGTTGTGGACAGATTTCCCCTGACAAAAATTAAACTAGCTCCTACTTGGCACTTTATTATCTCTTCAACTGAATGATTTATTGTTTGTGGAGAGAAAGAAGCCAAGAAAGAGGGGAGATTACATTTCCAGCCCAAGCTCAAGCTTGATCTAGTTTCTTTCAGGTTTTTTTGTTAACTTTCTTTCTGTCCAGAAAAAAGCTCCCGACAAACAATAATGTCAGCTGTAATTGATCGGAGGTCGCCGGCTGGGCCTGCAGTAAAAGTGCACTATTTAAGCGACAATCGGCCCCGCGCTCTTCAGATGCTGGCTAATGAAGCTGTCTGTCTGGGCTATTTACCTTCTCTTAAATAGAAGGGGAGAGATGTACTGTAAGAGACAGGGCTGGAGAGGATCTGCCTCACGCTCCTGTGAAATAGGACCTGCACATGCCTCAGGAATGTATAATTGGTTGCTGCAGCCAAAGCTGGGGATGCGGTGCTAATTAAATGACTTGTTTAAAGCCTATCTGTCTTTGTTTGGGAGGCTCCGGGCTTCAGAACAATGCATTGTAAATGCTGTTGTCAAACAAACATTCCTGGTTATCCTTTGATTGGAACTGAACAAGACAAAAGGCTGATTTACTCAATGCTAAGCCTTTCATTTTCCTGCTGTTGAGATGTTTTTTTTTTCTTTTTCTTATTATTCTTCTGATCTGTCAAACCAAACAGGAACAATCCAGTCAAGCAGCTAAATAGACCAACTTCTCTCAAAATCCAAATGCAGCCTGCTGCTGCAAAACAATCTCGGCTTTCATGCTAATTGCTCTTGTAAAAATGGCCTCATGTTGTGCTTGCATTACTCGAACAAAGGTGAGACGGTGGCGCAACGCACATGGAGAGTCTTTGTTGTGGTTGTATGCAGGATTTGCACACCAGACCCAGAAGGAAATGAACAAGTCATAAAAAGTGTCAGTCATGCCTGCAGACATTGGGTGGATTTTTGATTAACCAATTCATCATTAAGAAAACCATTAATCTCCTTTTAAATGTAAGACCCTTTTTTTATCTTCAGTCTAGGGCTAGGCAATGTTAGATGGTAAAAAATGGCAGATGGCCTATGGTTCTACGCAAAAATTCATTCACCCACGCACACACACATTCACACACTGGTGGTGATGAGCTACATTGTAGCCACATGCACTCTAGGGCACCCTGACAGAGGCAAGGCAGCCAGGCACTGGCACCACCAGTCCCCCTCACCACCACCAGCAGGTAAGACGGGTTAAATATCTTACCCACGGACACAACAACTGCGACAGTCGGAGCTTGGACCTGAAACCTTCCAGTTACGGGGCAAGTACTTTACTCCTCTGACACCGTTGCCCAGTGAAGATCATGAAAGATTTGAAAGTGTCGATGAGCTGCCGTGTCTGAGAGATAGTATTGTATGATCGGTCAGAAAGAAATAGAATTGAACATGTTTTGGATTTGTTTTCATCCGGGTGGTTTTAGATGTGACACACCCTTAGTCTAAACACTGCT